GTAGAGACGGGGTTTCACCATGTTGACCAGGATGGTCTCGATCTCTTGACCTCGTGATCCACCCGCCTCGGCCTCCCAAAGTGCTGGGATTACAGGCTTGAGCCACCGTGCCCGGCCTCCAGTGTATATTTTAAAAACAACACACATAGACTGGGCACAGTGGCTCACACCTATAATCCCAGCAATTTGGGAAGCAGAGGCGAGCAGATCACTTGAGCTTAGGAGTTTGAGACCAGCCTGGGCCACATGTCAAAACCCTGTCCCTACCAAACACACACACACAAAATTAGCTGGGCATGGTGGCGCACACCTATGGTCCCAGCTTCTCAAGAGACAAGAGGCGGGAGGATTGCTTGAGCCTAGGAGGTGGAGGTCGCACTGAGCCGAGATGGTGCCACCACACTCCAGCCTGGGTGACAGAGTGAAACTCTCTAAATAAATAAATAAATAAAATAGTAATAATAAATAAAAACAACACACACATCTCAGGTGTTCAGCCAAGCTGAGGGCTCAGATGACTCCAGTCCCAGCTACCATCTGACTGTGACCACCAGAGAGATCCCCAGCAAAGATCTCTGTCTGGCCCAGTCAACCCAACAAGCTACCAGAGGTACTAATAAAGGGTTGTTTTGGGCCACGTGGTTGGCTTGGGTGGGTTGTTACATAGTAACAGAGAACCAGGATATATGACAACAGCAAACTGCTTACATTTCCCCCACCTCGAACCCTGGGCAGCTTGTGCCTCTGGTGCCCTGTGTGCATCTGTGTCATGTATGTGCCTGTGCCGTGTGCATGAATGTATGTACGGGTGTGTGTGTGTTTGTCCGTGCTGTGTGTGGATGTGCCATGTGCATGACTGTGCCGTGTGTGAGTCTGGGCCATGTGTGCATCTGTGCCCTCATCCTGAATACCCTATGTTCTCTTCTCCACCTGGCTACGTCCTGCTCCTACTTCAAGCTTCAGTGCAGACAGCATACGGAGCCTCTCCTGCCCCTCCAGGCTGGGCTGTGTCCTCCTCCTCTAGGCACCTGTGCACCCTGAGAACACCTGTCAGGATAGAGACTTCCAACTACGTGGCACTATGTGGACGCAGAACAAATATGAAAAAAAAAAAGTGCCGAACTGAATGCACAGAAGAAAGGAAGGAAAGAGGCTTCGATTCATTTTGTGACCCCATTTAATAGGAAGTCTGCCTCTCTGTCCTGAAACTGTGATTGGCTGCTTGTTCTTGCACAGCAATAACTCACTCTGAGATGTACAGCCAATCCCTTCCCAAAACTATAATTATGATATATGGTATATACTGATAGTTGAAGATTATATTCAGCTCAGCATTAAGAGGCAAGAGAGCAAATTCTCTTGAGGATAATTTGGGACTATATCACTTAGAACATGAAAAAGAGTCCAGAGCTGGAAAAGGCCCTGTTGCCTATTATCTAGGTAACCAGAGACAACTAACTAGTCCAAAGCCAAATGGCAGACCAGGGTGTTTTACCCAGTCCCTAACTGCAGGCTCTCTGCACCTCTCATCCTGCCATGCATTTACTTGAATGGTCAGCCTGAAGGCACTGCCAGATGAACCGAAGGGCCAGGAGGAAAGAGAATATCACCAGGGCTAAGGCAGCCCCAGTTGGCAACCCCCCCATGCTCACCGGGTACGTGGGCTTGGTGGCAATCTCCAGGAGCTTTTGCTTGGCTCTTCGCTCCGCCTCACGCGCTTCCTGCAGGTCCTGCTTCAGCTGATCGGCCTCTTTGGCCCTGCAAGGAAAGGAGACGTCAGCTTCACAGAACAGAACAGAGCAGGTGGAGGTAAAAGACCCCACCCCACCTGTGCAAAGGAGAGACCTTGGTTAACCCTAAGGATGGTATCTGAAGAGGCGAAAAAGGACAGTGGGACAGGGACATTTACATGAAAACTTCCAAAGCAAGGACAACATTCCTGAAGATTTTCGTTTGGGCTGGTAAATCTAAACTGGAAGAGCAGGAAAACTGGTGGGGAATGAGACAAACCGTACCATCTGCAGCCAGGAGAGGGAGGAGCTGGAGGAGGCACCAGCAGTTTTCTCTGCTTTATTTTTGGGTCAAAGTAAGCTGGGCAAAGGAAAAGCCTGGAGGATCAAAGTTCTTATATTAGATCGCAAGGGGCAGAATATGCAAGAGCTGCGTCTTCACAGCCCCCAGGTAAAACACCTGCGGGCCTTGTGCCCACTTTCTCCGGCAGGAAGATGAGCCCTGTCACTGAGCAGCACTGCACCTTGGTGAAGATCCTCACGCTGTGGGGCTTGGGGTAGACACGGCATGTGAGGCTTGGCACAGGGACCTGGCCCAACCTGCATCACAGGTTGTGTGTGTGCAGTCCCTAGTCCAAAGCCAAATGGCAGACCAGGGTGTTCTATCCAGTCCCTAACTGCAGGCTCTCTGCACCTCTCATCTGCCATGCACAGGGAGTGTGACCTGCATACAGCGAGGGGGCTGAAGCAGGGCAGGCAAAAAGAAACCATATTCCCAGAATGACATGCAAAGGGTAGTAAGGAAAACTGTAGTGAATGCACCTTGGTAACTAAAAGCCAAATTCAAGTGCTCTAAATCAACAGCCAAAAGCTGTGGGGAATGTGTCAGTGTTTATCTGAAGGTTGCAGGCCTAGAATAGTCTTTCAGAAGTACAGACAACAGTTCCATCCTTCAACCTGGCCATGAGTGGGACATCCCAGTCACAGAGACTATCCTAGCCCTCCTCCCCCACGTGCCAAGGAAGGCTGGGGGATGCAGGCACTAGTTTCCCTTTAAAGGCAAGCAGCTGCTGTTCTGCAGCTCCACTGAATGAAAGCAGAAAAGAACCATGTTGTTGTTGTTTTTTTTAAATGAACTAAGAGCCTTCTCACATCTCTTCAGCTGAAAGCAGTCTGTGGATATGCTCAGGGGTTTTCCTGCACACACGGCCATCAGAGGGTCAGGGGCTTATCACAGAGGTATAAGCACGACCAGGGAGGTGCACCTGGCAGGAGAACTGAGTTCCCGTGCCCATCCAGCAGTGCCAGCCCCAAACTGGATGAAGCACCAGTCGCCATCAGCAAAGAAGTAGCCTCCCTACAGTTCAGAAGATGGGGAAGCAGCTTGAGGATGGCTGCTATGGAGCTCAGCCTCAGGGCAGGCTGGACTGCGGCCCTTCACCAGCCTCCTCGCCAGTATGGTGCTCGGCGTCCCCTCACCTCCTTTCTGACTCCTCAGCCATCTTCAGCGCCAACACCTCGGCCTCCAGCACCTTCTGCTCCATCAGGCGCTTTTCTTCCTCCGTGCGAATGGCTGTGGCCTTGATGCGCTGCATCTCCTGCTCGGCCTCTGCAGCCTTCTGGGCCAGAAGTTTTGCCTCCTCCTCGGTGATCTGGGCCTTTTCGGCCAACAGGTCGGCCGTCTCCTCGGACCGCATCTGGAAGGCATGGGGCTCGTAGCTGAAGTGGGATAACGTGCTACTCTCCTGCCCAGATCTACCTTAAACACGGAGATAGGACGAACCAGAGTCTTGGACTCCTGGGACCCTGCTGGTGAGTGCCCCCCATGACCCTCTGACAAGAGGTGACAAGCCACATTCCTCAGCTTTTCAGAAGGACCCTTCGGGCTGCACCCATGGGGAACAAAAAGAGCACCTCCTCTGAGTACCCACTTCAGCTCAGCCTTATGTGTCACGCGGAGAAAAACAACTTAAACTCTGTTCTTTCCCTTTAAATCAGTGGTTCGAACCAGAGGAGTTTTTGCTCCCTGCAAGAGACATGCAGCAGGCTGGGCATGGTGGCTCGTGCCTGTAATCCTAGCACTTTGGGAGGTCAAGGCGGGCAGATCACTTGAGGTCAGGAGTTCAAGACCAGGCTGGCTAACATGGTAACACCCCGTTTCTACTAAAAAGACAAAAAATTTGCTGGGTGTGATGGCACGCATCTGTGATCCCAGCTACTCAGGAGGCTGAGACAGGAGAATCAGTTGAACCTGGGAGGCAGAGGTTGCAGTGAGCCAAGATCGTACCATTACACTCCAGCCTGGGCAACAAGAGCAAAATATCATCTCAAAAAAAATAAAAAAGAGACGTGGCAATGTCTGAAGATGCTTTGATTGTTACAAATGGAAGGTGAGGTGCTGCTACTGGCATCTAGTGCCCCCAACAAAGGATGGTCAGCCCCAAATGTCAGTGGTGCCAAGGCCGAGAAGCCGGGCTGTAAAGGCAACCTCGTGGTGAAAGTGGAATTCGGCTGCACATGAGTTCAACCTAAATCTGCTTCTGCCAACACAGGTGGAGAGAAAAGGCACTAACTTTTTAAAAGCTGAAATAAAGTATATCAAAGCAAATGCTGGTAACTCATGGTCCTCAGGAGACTGAGTTCCAGAAAAGCCAAGGAAGTCCCAGGTAGCCTCCTGGAACCCCGGTCCCTCAGAAATCACCAGCGCTTCGTTGGCCATTGTTGCTTCTTCTTTCAGCTGCAGCAGCCTCCTCTCCAGCTCATCCCTTGTGCGTTCAGCCTCCTCCCTCATCTGCTTCTCTCGAGCGAGGCGCTGCCGCTCCATCTGCAGGGGGTGAAGAAAAACAGTCATCAAATCACAGGGCTCAAGACCTAGGTGCCACAAGGGACCAAAGATGCCCCATCTCCAGAGTCTCCCCTTTTGGGACCTTTTTATTCCCTTTCCTTTAGGTAGCCAGGGTCATTCTTATTGCCCTGTAACCCCGTCCTTCTAAACCAATTGCAGAATGGAAAGTTGTGCCCCTTGAAAAAATTCTAATGGTGAATGAACAAATGGACAAACAAACAAAAAAAAACAAGCCAAGTCTCGACCTGGATAGAAAGAGGCATTCTTATACACGGTGCACTGGAGTGGCTACTTTGCCAATGATGCTTTTTGCTGGGAAACCTCAGGTGGCTCTGGCCGGTGGCTGACAGGATTCAATGCAGGATCTCCTCTCTGAGACACAGCCCCAGAAATAAGCAGCTTTCTCATCTGGTCAGGCAAGCCAGCTCACCATTTCTAATCCACGTGGACCCCTCTCACATCTCTGATTTCATCAACAATAGCTCCACTCTTGCCTCTGACCCACAGAGAAGATGGAATCATTCTGCGTGATGCATCAATAGTTCACACATTGTATTTCACAGGGGGGAGCTGCAACAGCCACAGCAGACTTGCACAGCCTCACGCAGAGACAACTCCTGAGCCAGGCCTATGACAGGAGGAAGCCAGGCGGGGAACACAGCCCCCTGTCCTTAAGGCAACAGTACAAAGCCACCACCACCTCCCTCGCCTTCTGGATCACTACATTAATTGGACCACATGCTGAGCTTAATAAGGGGAACAAGCACAAGACAGTGCCATTCCTCTGTGATCTCAGGGTACTAACTGAGTTCAAAAGCAGAATCCAGAAGTGACCACTGCACTATTTTCTGCCTTACATAATTAAAGCACATTTAATTACTTCTTGCTTCAATCTTATCCCACACTCTGGTCATACAAGGTTTTTAAAACTGCTGCTTTATCTAAATCCTAAGCCAAAAAAAAATTTATTTTACAAACACACACACAGACACACACACACACACACAGACACACACACACAAACACACATTGGAGCTTGAAAGGATAATGCAAAGAGAAGCAATAAAACAGTGGAAGTTCTCCAGTTTTCTTCTTGCAAGTCAATGAAAAGCGTGGCCAATTTGTTCTCTAATTTCCATCATATTACAATTTCCATAAGGTGGATTACTACATCACTGTAATTCAAAAGAAGGAAAGAATAAAAGAAGAAAGGGAAGGAGGGAGGGAGGGAGGGAGGGAGGAAGGAAGGAAGGAAGGAAGGAAGGAAGGAAGGAGGGAAGGGCGGGCCATGGCTCATGCCTATAATCCTAGCACTTTGGGGGGCCGAGGTGGGAGGAATGCTTGAGCCCAGGAGTTTGAGATCAGCCTGGATAACACGGCAAGACCTGATCTCTACAAAACAATTAAATTAACTAGGTATGGTAGCACGAATTTGTAGTCCCAGCCACTTGAGGGGCCAAGGCAGAAGGATTGCTCGAGCCCAGGAGTTTGAGGCTACAGTGAGCTACAATGGCACCACTGCACTCCAGCCTGGATGACAAAACGAGACCCTGTCTCTTCTATATTAAAAAAAAAAAAAAAAAAAGCCCAGGTAATCTCCTTCAGTTCCTGGCACTGTACTTTCCCTGAGACCTCTACCCCAATATAAAGGACCTCCTACTCACAAAAGCAGTTTACTGCTTATAAAGACTGTAAGGTGTAATATATGTCCCTTCATCTGAGATGGAGAAGGTGTATCATTAGTTTCACCTGATGGATGAGACAACTGAGGTCTGGAAGGTAAGCCACTGACTTAGTCATATTCTAAATTTCAGATCTGGCTCCAAAGTTAGTGTCTGTCCACCTGATCTGCTGTTGCCCAGATGCCAGGTTTGTGGCTCTGCTGTGCTGTATGTAGCGCCAATCTGCAGTGTTTCTGCTATTCTCTGCCAGGGCCCGCAGGCTACTCCTTGACGCTTTCAGATTTCTAACTTCTAAGCTTTGCTCTGCTAAGAAAAAGGTCAAGGAGAGCTCTCCTCCTCCTCTTCCTTCTTCTTTTTTTTTTTTTTTTTTTTTTTTTTTTTTTTTTTTTTTTTTTTTTTTGAGGTTGAGCATCTTTTCATATGTATTGGCCATTCAGGCTTCTCTTCTGTGAATTAGCTTTTTTTGTTTTTTTTTTTGGTATTTTGCTTTTGTTTCTGTTTTGAAACAGGGTCTTGCTTGGTCACCCAGGCTGGAATGTAGTGATGCAATCATAGCTCACTGCAGCCTCAAACTCCTAGGCAAGTGATCCTCCTGCCTTGATCTCCCAAAATGCTGGAGTTACAGGGATGAGCCACTGCCAAGAGCTCTTTGTGAAACTGCCACTATGACCCCATGGTGGCTCAGTAGCATTTCTTTGTCCAACAAAAACAAACCCATCACCTCCAAAGCCCCCCAAAGAACACATCTGTGGCCTGCCATCTCAGAAAGCAAAGAGATGGAGAGCTGGAAGCACACTGGGCATTTTACTCTAAAACCTAGGGCTGGGAGCCAGCCTCTCCAATGTGTATCCAAATCAGAAAGCTGCACACAGACTAATTATTACACCTCGGAGCTTGCAAGTCCTGAGGGCAGCCAACTGCAGCTGCTGCTACTCCATCTAGTAGTTTATCCAAAAACACAATTGATATTCTCAGCAGTAAGACCCAAATTCGTTATGTGGATTTCCATGAGTAGAGAAGGTTTGTGAGTAGAAAACTGATGCAGATCACCCAATGTGCTGATAGGTGCTCCTGGCACCTCCTGGGGCAGATGACTTGCCATGAGGCCTGACCTGCAGTGGGGAAGTGCGGCCAGAGTCAAATTAGCATCCCAGCAGCAAGCACTGAAATGCCACCCTGCATTCTATCACCATCTAATTAGAAGAGGAGAAGGCTATGCAAGGAGGCAGACGGGCAAAAAAAGAAAGCAAGCTAGCTAGCCAGACAGATAGATGCATGGATGCTTGGCTACCTTGTCCCAAACCGGTGTTAATCACACCTAATTTCTCTAAGTGTAGAAATTACTAGGGCTGTTTCTTTTAGGTATGATATTAGGGTTTACTCCTCATTTCCACAACTGACATCCCACCAGGTAGGCATCAGCAAATGAAGATCCAACAAGATAAAACAAGGCAGGCATATGCATGGCAAAAAGACTCTTGTCAGCCCACAACCACTCCTCACCTCCCAAGCCAGGACTGACCACACAGTGACATCATCAGTGAAAACAAGGTCTTGCTCACCTGCTTTCTAGCCTTCTCCTCCCTGGCCTGGGCTTTCATCTGCTGAACTTCCAAAGAATCGGCTTTCCTTCTCCTCATAAATAGATCATGGTTCCCGATACATAGCTGGAGAATCTGTGGCCACAGAAGTAGACAAAAAGGTTAATATCCACAAATTTATTTCACTGCCTAACAGCCACCAGTGCAATGATAGCAGTTTGGGCTTTTGCAGGTAGCCATTAACATGAAGATGAATGCATGGAGTGAAATATCAAAGCCCTACTAGCAGCCTCTAGTGCTCTTAGCTCTGGAGACATGCAAAATGAAGGTGCCTCAGATATGCCAGGAAGTAAAAATCACAAATGAAGGCAGGACTGGAGGACACTTCACCATGTCTTCCGGGTGCACCTTACTCTCCTACATCAAGATGTGGTTCTCCAGACCAGGGAGGATAGGAAAGCTCCTTCAGTAAGCTGGGCTGAGACAACAGGTTATGCATGTGGAAAAAAAATAAGTTGGATCCCTCCCTCACACCTTACACAAAAATCAACTCCAGAAGGATTAAAGACTTAAATACAAAGATCAAGCCTTTGAAATTTTAGAAAACAATATAGAAGAACAACTTTATGATCATAGGATAAGAGAAGATGCCAAGTAAGACACAAAAAAAGTGATTAAGGAAAAAATCTACATATTTGTCTATATTTAAATAAAAAATTTATATTGTCAAGATGTAAAAAAAGAAAAACAGAGCTACAAACTAGAAGATATAGCCAATATTATAAAAACAGGCTAGGTGTAGTGGCTCACACCTGTAATCCCAGCACTTTCGGAGGCCAAGGTGGGAAGATTCTTGAGCCCAGGAGTTCAAGACCAGCCTGGATGACATAGTGAGACCCCATCTCTACAAAAAATCAAAAAATTTGGCCAGACATGGTGGCATACGTCTGTAATCCCAGCACTTTGGGAAGTGGAGGCAGGTAGATTGCTTGAGCCCAGGAGTTCAAGATAAACCTGGACAACATGGCGAAACCTCCTCTCTATAAAAAATACAAAATATTAGCTGGATATGGTGGAGTGTGTCTATAGTCCCAGCTACTCGGGAGGCTGAGGTGAGAGGATCACCTGAGCCTGGGGAGGCCTAAGCTGCAGTGAGCCATGATTGTGGCACTGCATTTTAGCCTGGGCAACAGAGTGAGACTGTCTCAAAAAAAAAAAAAAGTTAATATGATAATGAGATATCATTTTATATGTACAAGATTGGCAAAAATTTTAAAAGGCTGATAATACAAGTATTAAGGATAGCAAAAAGGAAGTCTCACCCACTACTGTTGGGTCTGTAAAAATCGATTCACCTTCTTTAGAAAATAATGCATCACAATTTTGAAATCTGAACATATACTAAGCCCTATTCTTCTATTCCTGTGTATATACTCTAAACTCTATTTTTTATCTTAAAAAATTTTATTTATATTCTTTTTTTTAGAGACAGGGTCTTGCTATGTTGGCCAGGTTGGTCTTGAACTCCTGGCGTCAAACAATCCTCCCACTTTGACCTCCTCAAGTGCTGGGATTACAGGCGTGAGCCACCCCACCTAGCCCAGTATACTCAAGACTCCTATGTGCATGCACCAGGAGGCAGATACAAAAGTTTTCTTAACAGCCTGTTAAAACGGTATAGAAGTAAAAAGCATTTAATTATCCAGTGAAAGAGGAATGAGAAAAAATTTATATCTATAACAGAGTGCTACAGAGGTGAGAATAAATAATCTTTAAGCATCAACAAAGATATATCTCCAAAGAAAATGAAACAGGAAAAGGCAAGTGATAGAAGAATATATATAGTTGACAGCACTTGGATAAATTTCATAAACACATAACACTGAATAGCATTTTTCTTTTGCCGCATATGTAATAAAATTCTGTTGAAAAGCAAGGGGATAATGAATACTCAACTCACAACGGTGATCACCCTTGGGGAGAGGGAAGGGACAGTCCAGTAGGGTGTTAACATGAAGGGTCGACAGTATTGGGACTGTGCTATTTCTTAAAGCAAGGTCATAGGTACACAGCTATTCACTTTTGTTGTTCTTTATAACTTATGTAAGTTATGCTTATCCTTTTATATGTATGAAATACTGCAATAAAAATCATTGTAAAGTTTCCTCATAATTTGGTTTTAACTCTTTAAGCTAAAGAGAAAGTGTGCACCAAGTGAGATAGCATTCTACACTTCACAAGATGTCACTCTGATTTTTTTTTTTTTTTGAGAAGGAGTCTCGCTCTATCACCCAGGCTGGAGTGCAATGGCGAGGTCTCAGCTCACTGCAACCTCCGCCTCCAGGGTTTAAGCAATTCTCCTGCCTCAGCCTCCCAAGTAGCTGGGACTAGAGGCTCACACCACCACGCCCAGCTAATTTTTGTATTTTTAGTAGAGACAGGGTTTTACCATGTTGGCCAGGCTGGTCTCGATCTCTTGACCTCGTCATCCGCCCACCTTGGTCTCCCAAAGTGCTGGGATTACAGGCGTGAGTCACTGTGCCCGACCCACTCTGATATTCTTTAAAAAGAAGTATTCAATTCTAGAAAAGCTACCATTATCAGTAATGAAAACCAGGATCTCAACTTACCAGCTTATTAACACGAAGCTTTGAGGAGTTAAACTTGAAGACATCGATTTTCTTATCCAGTGGTTTAATAGTAAACTGGAAGAAGGAAGCAGAACAGAGTTTCAGTCCCACAGCCTGAAATGTTACCACCAACTGGAAATTCCACAAATGCAGCAGCCACACTGGCCACAGACCAGCATGAAGTTACGCCCTGTCCTGGCTTCCCAGCATCAGGCACTAAGTTATGCCTTGTCCTGGCTTCCCAGTATCCTCGGGGAATTAGGAGCACCAAGTCTGGGGCTGTGGAATGTGCACTCTCTAGACCATCTTAGGCATGAGTGTGAGGAAGGGATTCTTGACAACCTAAAATAAGCATGGTTAATGGGCCCACCCCTGAGCCCAAAACTGGAGGGCTACAGTCTAGGGCATGGCCCTGCCTTCATGAAGCTCACCATCCAGTTGGAGCTAGGCTAACAACAGCCAATTACTCAAGAAATCACATCATATATTAGTGCTTTGTTGGGTGGTGCAAATCACAAATGTGTGGGAAGGTTTAGAGTAGATCCACCATAAGCAGGGGAGAGTGAAGCTGATCTTAGAAGAAGAATCCAACAGCATAGCTAAAAGGCAGGCTGAAGGGGCATTGTGCACAAGGCAGCACCAGTAATAAGGTAGAGATAGGGAAATGAGGGGTGTGTGTGTGTGTGTGTGTGTGTTAGCTTTTTGGTGACTAAGATGATATAATAGGCTCAGCCTGGGAGGGATAAGAGGTGGCGTAGGGGCTGGCAGTGAGAATAAAGGTCAGAGGTGGCCAGGTATGGTGGCTCACACTTGTCATCCCAACACTTTGGGAGGCTGAGGCGGGAAGATCACTTGAGGCCAGGAGTTAGAGGCTGCAGTGAGCTGTAATTGCACAACTGCACTCCAGGCTGAGCAATAAGTGAGACCCCTATCTCAAAAAAAAAGGTGTTTAGATTTGATGTGACAGGATACCCAGACTCACCACAGGTTTCTGAAGATGGGAATAATTTGATAAAAGCTGTTAATAGAAAGAATCAAATGGGAAAAAAGTGGACTATCATAGAAAGGAAAACAGTTCCTGATCCTGAAATCAAAGTGGAGAGAAAGATGAATGATAAGGATAGGGTGGTGGCCTGGTAGGCGAGCCCAGGGTCAGACCACTAGCAGGAAAGCCTGTAAGGAACAAATGGCTGCTGCTCTCAACCACTCTCGATAAGAACAAACAGATCCCAGATTTCTGCAGGTTCTGCACCATGCCAGGGTGTACACAAAGAATCAATGGATCACTTAAAATAAACTAACATTTCTGTTTTGACAGCCCAGCTGTCATGCAAAACTACCAAGACTACTTCTTTTATGTCAAGTCAGCTTGGGGTCTGCTTATTGCATGAGTTACTGACATGATGGAACATGATGGCGGCTGGCCCCCTGAGAGAGCATATTAGAGTTTACTGTGTCAGGCCATACTAGGGGAGGTTTTAATCCTTGGGTTCTTTGAAGAACGGATGTTTAGGGAGCCTTTAGCGCACAAATGTGTGGATGTGTGATAAACAGACTATGAAATTGGGAGATGAAAAACTACCATACGGTGCACACATACTGCTTTATGTCATGTGGAACTTTCATTTTAAATACTTTAAAAAAGAAATACTTAAATGCTTATCTCCTGGGCTAACTACTTACAAAAACTTCAAAGTCAGAATGTTTTGAATTAAGTGGTTTGGTCTGTCTTATCAAGCATGGCTGAGTAGATCCCAACCACATATTGGAAGCCAAGGGCCTGGTTGGTGTTTGCTTCCTTGAGTTGCCATGAAGAAAGAGGAAAGAGAAAACAGGAAATATGCTCAGGTTTGGGGCTCTGCAGGCAGCAACATAAGCCGTTCCTGTACTTCATTCCCTACTCTGTGTCCTGGCTGTGCAGGTGCCAGGAGGTCACTGAGTGGAGCCTCCTCTGCCTGGTGCCCTGTGCTCTCAGGCCTCAGCGTCTGGGTCTCCCTGAAAGGCGGGGGTTATGGTATCAGCAACTCCAACTCTTACCCTCTGCTATTTCACTCAGACACAGGTCACTTGATCCTTCTGTGTCTCTGCTTCCTGACGTGACACAGAGATAATGACAACACAGCCCCTGCCTTTACGGCAGTGTTCTTATAGAGATCAAATTCAGAGGGTTGGGGTGAAAGTGCTTGTATGTGGAAGACTATATCGTCATCATCATGTCTCTTCCACGGCACTTATTTATTATAGCAGGTGAGTAGTTACTTGACTTCCTTGAAGGCTGAGACTAAATTTTCTACCTCTTTGTTTTTCTCATGAAATCTAACACAAAGAAGATGCTCAATAATTCCTTTAAAAGTAATGAAGAATTGCTGAGCATGGCAGCTCACACATGTAATTCCAGCACTTTGGTAGGCTGAGGTGGGAGAATCGCTTGAGCCCAGAAGTTCAAGACCAGCCTGGGCAATGTGGCAAAACCCCATCTCTACAAACAATTAGCCAGGTGTGGTGGCACACGCCTGTAGTCTCAGCCACCTGGGAGGCTGAGGTGGGAGGATGACCTGAGTCCAGAGAGGTCAAGGCTGCAGTGAGCCATGATCGTGTGCTGCTGCATTCCAGCCTGGGAGACAGAATGAGACTCTGTCTCAAAAGACAGTAGTAATAAAATAAAATTAATGAAGAATGAATGAATGCATGGATAGATAAGTGAACATAAGATTATGCCTATGGGACCTTTTTGGGAAAAGTCACCACCCTGTATGAAAATATTTCAACTCCAAGACCATTCATCTGAGTTATTCAAGCTTAATTATTTTTGAATTCTTGTAAGCATATTAACCTAATATCCTTATTTATATCATTACTGAGCTATACACACAAAACACATATATGTCCATATGTGTGTATGTGTGTATATATATTTCCCTACCACATATATTCTGGTCTTAAATAAAGACCACACTTAAAATACAAAGAGAATTTAAGCCAGGTGGCGCACACCTATAGTAGCTACTCAGGAGGTTGAGGTAGAAGGATTGCTTGAGCCCAGGAGTTCAACTTCAGTCTGGGCATATGTAATGAAACCCTGTCTCCAAAAAAAAAAATAAAATAAAATAAAAAGAGAATTTATCAACACAAATAGAAAGCCAAGTAATGAGAAAATGTGACTGTTTTTGTTTACTATTCTTTGGGGTTTCTCCCTGGCAAGTTGAGCTTCCCAGTTTCCTGTTAGTCATAGTGGGGTTACTGATGCCAGTACTGTTCTGTAAATATTTCAAAAATCAACAACCACACCCCCAAAGCCTGGGAATTAAAGGATTCTACAAATAACAAGAAGATGCCCTGGCTGGGGAGGCTCCAGCGAGGGGGGCAGACGGGGAAGCTCTTTTGCTGAACCCCTGGGCCACAAGGGGCATCTGCAGTACAGACACATCCTACCTCCTTGTCACTGTATGAGATGTTTCGGATTTCATTCCACGGGAAGGAGATCTTGGGGGTCAGCCTGTTCTCGGGGTCATAGATGTGAAGCCCCAGGGCATCTACTCCAAGCAGCAGCTCTGTGCCCTTTTTATTCTGTGGATCCAATAAGAACAGCCACTGTAAGCTCCAGCTGAGGCTCGAAATTTTATTCAACCTTCCAAAGAATCTGGCACACACTGTCACATGTGACAAGTTTCAGCAGGTCCCAACAGAAGTCACAGCTGTTTTATAAACCAAGAAGCTTTCAGCTTTCTGAACCGGGGCAGGCAGAAGCAAAACTGTACCATTCTTGTGACTTCTGAGTCCCCCAGAACGATCGCTGAGGGCTTCTGTCACTGGCTCGACAGCTAAAGGAAGAGTAACGTAAGTGTTGTTGCCTCTCATTAAACAACCAGGCTATCATATGTGTGGAATTAAAGCCCATAGGTTTAACGATTTCTTATGTTTAAAGAAACCGTTGCTGGACTACTAGAAAGAAAACGTTAAGTGCCTGGGACTGGATGGTCTCATTTTATGATCAAATGTAGTCTTCATGTGATAAAACAAGTCTGGTAAAATGTTAACTGTAGAATCTAGGTTGTGCATATACATAAGTATTCACTGAAAAATTATTTTGATTTTCCTGTAAGTCTGAAATTTTTAATAATCGCATGTTGAAAAATATATATCAAAAGGAATTCTACAGAAATTATTCATCAACAAAGCTGTCTAAAAGCCTATGCTTTTAGACCTATGCTCTGCCTCTGACAGTGGTCCTGGCCAGCAGTCAGAGCAGCCAGCGGCGGGTGCCCTGGGCGCCCACAGCACTGACCCTGCTACACACTTGGTGGCCGTATGCTCACGTGCAGGTCCACCCGCCGGTGCTGTGGTCCAGCCCTCATTTGGAGGTGGAAGGAAACTCGCTGCACAAAGATAATACAGCTTCTGACCCCTTGCTGATAACAGAAATTGAACCAAGACTCAAGGGCAGAAAAACAGATCTGCAAACGGAGAAGGTACTGGGACCGTGAGAAGTACCAACCTAACAGCAGATGGGGGAGCGAGTACTCCAGCATAAATCTTTTTACTCCTAACACCCTGAAGTCAAGCGCTATCACCAAACCATGAGAGATTCTTCTGCTTGTCAGCAAAGCTAAGAAAGCTACTGCATTAATAGAAGTGAGGCTTTGTACTTTAAAATCTGTAGTACATTTTGGAAAATAAGATGTTTCATTATGTTTCTGACTATTTGGTTTACATTTTTAAAAAAAGATTCAGCCTTCTGCCTCCTACCATTATGACTCCAACACTTCTAGAGATTAAACAGACAGAGCTGCAGACTCAAGCAGCCCCTTTTAAACTGTTTTAAGCATACATCTTCCTTAGTTAATGGTGAGATTTCAGGAAATTTAACATAAAAGACACTAAAATAGCCAGTAGCTTTGTCTATTGCTCAATATAGGAAACACACATACAAAACAGAATCCATTAGTCTGACTGATGTACAAATATTCCCTAATAAGAAACTTTTTCAGCCAGGCACAGTGATGCACCCCAGCTACTTGGAAGGATCACTTGAGCCTAGCAGGCCTGGGTGATATGGCAAAACTCCACCTCTAAAAAACAAAAAAGATGTTTAAAAAAACAAAAAAGTGGGCTGGGCACGGTGGCTCACGTCTGTAATCCCAGCACTTTGGGAGGCTGAGAAGGGCGTATCACGAGGTCAGGAGGTCGAGACCAGCCTGGCTAACATGGTGAAACCCCATCTCTACTAAAAATACAAAAAATTGGCCAGGCATGGTGGCGAGAGCCTATTGTCCCAGCTACTCAGGAGGCTGAGGCAGGAGAATCGCTTGAACCTGGGAGGTGGAGGTTGCAGTGAGCCAAGATCACACCACTGCACTCCAGCCTGGGCAACAGATCGAGACTTCCACTCAGAAAAAAAAAAATGTTTTCTGAAGATTATAAAATTTTAGTTTTCTAGAAGCTAGGTGGCTGTCACATGGGGAAAGAGGAATAGAGTTGACAAAACCACAGAAATGTGTTATATTAGGCTGGGCGCAGTGGCTCATGCCTGTAATCCCAGCACTTGCACTTTGGGAGGCCAAGGTGGGCGGATCACGAGGTCAGAAGTTCGAGACCAGCCTGACCAACATGGTGAAACCCCATCTCTACTAAAAATGTAAAAATTGGCCAGGCATGGTGGCACACGCCTATAATCCCAGCTACTCAGGATGCTGAGCAGGAGAATTGCTTGAACTTGGGAGGTGGAGGTTGCAGGGAGCCAAGATCGCACCACTGCACTCCAGCCCAGGCAACAGAGCGAGACTCTGCCTCAAAAAAAAAAAAGAAAAGAAATGCGTTACATTAGTTTGACGTTAAAGAAACCAAGCAATTAGCAAATACAAACTGACAGAACTTTAGAAAAGACCTTCCTGCACTATTATGGAGCATCTTTTAGGCACTTTAAGTGTGCCTTATTTTCTTATGCAGAGTAATCCATACAAATCTGTATTTATAAAATACAAAGTAAGTAGAAAGCTATCCTAGAATATTTAAAATGTGTTTCAGTTTACCTGAATTTAATACAACAACTGTAGGAACCCAATAAGGGAAAGCAAAGCATGACTACGATAATAAAGGTGGACCTGCCTGATTGTTTTAACATCTACTCATCTGCAGTTTGGAGTCCGTGGTGAAATGCTTTGGCAAATCGCATGTACCCCTTTGGAAGAAGCTGCATCCAGCAACTGACCCACAGGAGAAAGACATTCTAAAGGCCCAGATCTGGGCTGCACACAAATGCCTCTCCCTGCAGAATCAGTGAGTTCCCAGCAGACTATTAATGGTCTGAATAGAAAACCAATTAGCCTCACAGTGAGAATCCCAAACAAATCAGTAATCTATAAAGGCAGATCTACTCTCCTAGTGCCTGGGGCAGGGGTGGGGATGGGGTGTATGGGAGCGGGGAGAAGTACTTACAGGTGCTCCCTGTGGACCAAGATCTCACAGAGCCAGAAATAATCAAATCTTACACTCAGACCATTCAAACAGGTTTCTGCTGAGAGTAGAACCAGGTCCAAGTCCCCCAAGGCTCAAGTGACACTTAATTACCTATGATCTAATTGAAGTCCAAAAATAGAAAGTTAGGCACTAAGACCTCTCTCTCCTTCCTCTATTTTTCTCTACCTACCACAGAAGCTTAAAAGATTCTATCACCTTGGAATGAAGAAGTAACCCATTTTAGCAGTCTGACCCTATTTAGTCTGTTTACTACAAAAGGAGCTCAAAGAGGTTTCAACACACCCGGATGGCAAAGTAGTTCACACCATACATCTCCAGGTCCTGAGCTATCTTCAGATATTCCATTTCAGCTTCATCCCTGTGGGGAGAATGGAAGACACTGTCACTGGAGCTAAGTGAGATGGGTGGAGAGCGGGCAGGCACCAAGGCAAGCATTCTGACGCTGCCATTCCTCTAGAGCCATGTTGCTGGCAGAAGACAAGAGCCTCAGCAGATACCAGCAAAGCTCTGCCCAGCCCCGAGTCTATTAAACACACTGTGATCAAGCAGAATTTCTCATCCCAATCAAATGAGAGTCAGAGAACAGACTCATCACGGTGTTTCTTAGCCTTAATTTCTCATTTTCCCCTTGGTAAACCGTAAACTCGTCTCAAATAATTCAAGAAGAGTGTGTGGTATGTTATCTTCTATCCTCAAACAGATTTGGGTGTTCACATTTTATTTAAGTAGTTGCTTTATCTTTGTGTACTTTCTTTATCTAGACAGTTTTGGAAATGAAACTGCTCTCTCTTCAAGCTTCCTGACTGAGTATTGTTAGAGGTTAGGGCATGAGCTATCTGGGTTGTAAAACCCAAGGCAGATCACCTTCATCCAAGTTATAAGTCAAATTTAAAGTAAGTTCTTGAAGTAGCAATGACTTGCAGAAAACTCCCAAACAGGTATCATATTGAAATATTTTAACTCAAGTCTTCCTATAACCTTGTCCTCTTCCTTCTCTCTCCAATCTCCAAATGCTCTCAAGTGAATTTTAAAAATCCAACCTGAGAGAACACCAAATGCTGGTGAACAGGTAGAGAAATCAGAAATCATACACATGCTGATGTAAATTGGTACAATTACGCCGGGTGCGGTGGCTCATGCCTGTAATCCCAGCACTTTGGGAGGCCAAGACAGGCAGATCACTTGAGGTCAGGAGTTCAAGGCCAGCCTGACCAACATGGTAACACCCCATTTCTACTAATAAATTAGCCTGGTATGGTTAGCACACGCCTGTGATTCCAGCTAATCGGGAGGCTGAGGCAGGAGAATCCTTGAACCTGGAGGCAGACGTTGCAGTGAGCTGAGATCCCGCCACTGCACTCCAGCCTGGGCAAAAGAGCAAGACTCTATCTCAAAAAAAAAAAAAAAAATTGGTACAATTACTTTGGGAAATTGTTTGACATTATTGTAGCAGCAAAAACCAGGAGACAACTGACAACCTAACTGTCCATCATTAGTAGAATGAATAACCTGTAGTATGCTAATACAGTGGAAGTTTACACAGCAGTGAAATAGAAAATACTATTGCCACATGCCACAAAACCAAATCTAACAATATGATGTTGAGTAAAAAAAATGAGACACACAAAAAACAACACAAAGTTTAAAATGGGCAATACCAATCTGGAATGAAAAATCAGTAGACTGGTAGCCTTTGGGGAGGAAGAAAGGGGAATTGGGGGTGGGGGGAGCATAGGTTATTTCTTCCTCTGGTATTACATGGTGTTTTTGCCTTATGATAACTGATCAAGTTGTATACTTATAATTTGTCTACTTTTCCATAAGCACGCTGCTCTTAAGTTTTTTTTTAAAAAAAAGCATGTGTTAGGAAACTGATTTGAAGAAGAGAAAAAAATTTTAAAGGCTAATGAAAACATGATCAGTTCCTAAAGTAATCAGGGGAATGCCAATTCTAACATGAAATACAACTTTTCACTTTTTAGATTACAAAAATTAGATTGATAAATACAAGTGTTAAGGATAGAATGGGGTTGGGGATGGACACTCTCATAACACTTGTCGACAGGCATGTATAAACAGGTACAGCCTTTTTGGAGAACAATTTGGTGGTACCTATCAAAATGCAAAATGCTCAGATGCTCTGACCCAGCAACTCTCGTTTTAAAGAATATATCCTCAGAACTACTCATATAATCGTGTAACTCCCAAACAGGTATCATATTGAAATAAGATTGTGTACTGCAGAAATTTTTGTAAAAGTGAAAAACCTACAAGATCAGCCTGGGCAACATGGTGAAATCCCATCTCTACTAAAAATAGAAAAATTAGCTGGGCGTGGTGGCATGTGCCTGTAGTGCCAGCTGGGGTGGGGTTGGGGAGCTAAGGCAGGAGGCTTGCTTGAACCCAGGAGGTCAAGGCTGCAGTGAGCTGAGATGGCGTCACTGTATTCAAGCCTGGACAACAGAGCAAGACTGTCTCCAAAAAAAAAAAAATCTTAAAATTAAACTGAGTTACCAATGAGTGCAGGTCTATACATCCTGACAGGTGGTACGCATGCCTGCTTTATATCATACGCACAAGAAAAAGGACACACACAAAACTGAAGACCAGCACTACTCCCAGCTCTCCCTTTTTCTTTTATAGACTTCAGTGCTGCAATTTGTTCAACAACCATGTCCTAATTTTGTCGTTCTTTAAGGGGAAAAAAAAGCCCAGAAAGGAATGTAAACAACAGTGAATGGGCCTCACCTGGCTCGGCCTCGGTGCTCTGCGTACCAGGCAGTAATTCTCTCTTCCCACATTTCTGGAGTCATCTGATACAGATTTATTACCTACCAAAAAATCCAGCAAAATCAAAAACCTACACACAATGTAAGTTTGGGTATTGTTTGCCACTTTTGTAATTATGCATCATTTCTACAAAACAGTAAAGCTATTTTTAAAAAGCTACACCCAGGAAGATAGTCACACACAGAGAAGGCGTGTAAATAAGGCACCATTCTATTAGAGGAGCAACTCAGAAAGCTGCGCGATAGCTCGGACCTAGGTGGATCCCTTGTCTGGCAGTGCCCCTGTTCCCTGCCTGGGTGGTACATCCCAGAGACCACCTCTGGCGGCGGAACTCAGTCAGAAGCAACGCTCACTCGTCTCAGGCCTTTGTGTGCTCAGGAGCCATCGAGGTAAAGGTAAAGGCAGTGAGAGGTGAGGACAGGGCCTTTATTACCCAGTGACAGATGAGTGGGGCTATAAAATCGGCAGGAGCAAAAGGGAGGGCGGGCCTGCTTGTTTGGCTAATGAATAAGATGAACAACGCTGAGGATTAAAAACCACAATGCCCACCCCTACCTCATCTCCTTTTGTCACTGCAAACAGCTCAATTCCCCTAGCTGAATACACTCTGCTTCAGCCTTCTCCTGAATCAGTGATGCTCAATCGCATTTAAAGAAATAACCAGGCTAGAAAAAACATTTTACAGGCCACGCTAGTCCTGGTGACACCAGAAACCTTTGCTTTTCAATATTCTTAACAGAGATCCCACACACTTTACTAAAGATTACAAAATATTTATTAAAATTTTCTTGCCATGTACTTCCAATATTCCTTCAAGTCCTTCGGTTAGCTTTCTTTTAGACCACATATCTGCTATGTCTTCCCAAAAAGGGAATTTAATCTCTTACCCTTTTTGGAAGCAATTCCTCTTGGGCCAAAAATCCCCGCTTGTGAACAGTGGGGTCGTAGTCACCATACTGGAAAGAGAAGAAAGGGAGAGCAGGTGATTGAGATTCTAAAGATAACTGTCATTTCTGAAGAGCTGGACTCAATCTCATTCCCTCCCAGCTCCAGGGAGCAATTCAATTCCGATGACAAGTCAAGATTTCAACCTTGCTAGTTTGTTATACCTGAATGAAAACGCAAAGCTGATTCTATCTATGAACAGAGTTGCATGATCCTGTAAGAGATGGATGGGTGATGTGCTAATAAGAATGTGACATTTGTATGGAAATGTGGGCATGTTTTCTAACCCTCAAAGAAAGCAGTCACTTCCAAAACATTAGCTTTAGAACCGAAACACCAAATCACAACTGTGAAAGTTGTGATTAGCAAAACATGATAAGAGTCTTCCCTATAAATTCTTCTAAGTGACTGGTAATTGCAGCCCATTCTAGGGGAATCCAGGAATAATGCAGGAAGCATTTTTAATACTTTCACTCAAGTCTCAAAAAATACTTTGGAAAAATCTGATGTCAATACTGCCATTCCTATCGTACAGACAAAGAAGTGAGTAAAAGGTTAATTGATCTTCCTAAAGCTACAGGGAAGTCACTTAATGGGGCTGGAAATAGGCCCTGCATTTTAATTTATCCCTCTGGGGATAATGATTTGGAAATTTATTCTCTGACTTAAAAAAAAAAAAAAAAAAAAAAAAAACTTCTTTCTTTCCTAGAAAACTCAAGTCTGATCAGGAAATAATCAAAAGTTAAAAAATGTTTAAAAAGAAACTAACCGAGAAACATACAGGAGAATATAAAACCAAAGCCTATCTCTTATCAATCAGCATACAGTGGCTCATTTTACCAAAAACAACAATGCTCCATACTACAGTATAATCTTCTATAAACATTTATTCTTTTAGCCACCAACAATGGAAAAACAGAGGTCAGACGCAAGGCTGCTGGTTCTATATACCACCAAATCTCATTCTTTCATTCTGTTCTCTCATTCTCAGAGTCTCGAGTTAAAATTTCTGGCGTGTTCTCCAAACGAAGTAGCCTACCAAACTACAGACACAGAAATGAAAGAAGATATTCATCATCAACTTTAAATTATGCGTCATTTCCCATATCACCTTAACTATAAAAGCCCCATGAATTAATATTTCTTTTGAATCTTATAATTTTCTTTCAAAGAGCAGAATTGTATTGCATTGTTTTTTAGAATCTTAAGGGAATTCGTCAAATTTAAACATTTTAAATACGGCACAGTTTTTGTAACACAGTTTAGGCATTTCTTCATTTAAAAAAATAGGCTGGGCACTGTGGCTCATGCCTGTAATCCTAGAACTTTGGGAGGCCAAGATGGGAGGATCACTTAACCCCAAGGGTGGACGGCTGCAGTGGCTGTGATTGCACCACTACACTCCAGCCGGAGTGACAGTGGAAGATCCCGTCTATATAAATAAAAAATAACTTTAGAAATTAAAAATGAAAGGCCTTGGTATTTCTCTGCTTCTGGGAGACTCAGAGTTGTGACGTAATAAGTCATAACTGTACTAAGCTTTAACAGTACTGCCTGCAAGGCAGCTGTAGAGCGAGGGTAGGAGCCTGGCTCTGGAGGCAGGCTGCCAAAGGTTTTACCTTACATCTTTCACTTGGTAGCTATGTGAAAGTTTTGTGTCTCAGTTTCCTTATCTGTAAAACAGAAATAATAATAGTATTTATCTTGCCAGACTCTTATAGGGATTGAATTAATAAGACCAGCAAAATTTTAAAAACTATGCTTGGCTAGACGAGGTGGCTCACGCCTGTAATCCCAGCACTTTGGGAGGCCAAGGTGGGCGGATCACCTGAGGTTGGGAGTTCAAGACCAGCCTGTGCAACACGAAAAAACCCTGTCTCTACTAAAAATACAAAATTAACCGGGTGTGGAGACGCATGCCTATAATCCCAGTTACTTGGGATGCTGAAGCAGGAGAATCACTTGAACTCGGGAGGCAGAGGTTGAGGTGAGCCAAGATCTCACCATTGCACACTAGCCTGAGCAACAAAAGTGAAACTTCGTCTCAAAAAAAAAAAAACAAACTATGCTTGAGGCTGGACACAGTGGCTCACACTTATAATCCCAGCACTTGGGAGACCAAGGCAGGTGGATCGCTTGAGGTCAGGAGTTCGAGACCAGCCTGATCAACATGGTGAAACCCTGTTTCTACAAATAGTACAAAATTAGCCGGGCATGGTGGCACATGCCTGTAATCCCAGCTACCTGGTAGGCTGAGGCAGGAGAATCGCTTGAAGCCAGGAGGCGGAGGTTGTAGTGAGCCAAGATTGCACCATTACACTCCAGTCTGAGCAACAAGAGCGAAACTCCATCTCAAAAAAAATAACAATAATAAAATAAAATAAAGTATGCTTGACATATACAACCTGATGTCCAGAAGATCTCAGGTCTCTCCAAGCCTGCTTCTTATCTGTCAGATGAGAGCACTGGCCTTAAAGGATCTTGAAGGGAGGTGGGGCATCTGGAGTACCCCCCTCTGAGGCCTTGAATAAGGCAACCTCTCTCTAAACCTCAACTTCCTCATCTGTAGAGTGAGGATCATAATAGCATCTGCCTTATTAGGGATAATGAGGATGAAGTAAAACAATACAGGTTTTAGCACAGCACATGGCTCATGGTGAAAGTCAGGTATCATTGTTATTGCGGTCCTCTGCATTTCTTTTTTTTTTTTTTTTTGAGACGGAGTCTCACTCTCGTTACCCAGGCTGGAGTGCAATGGCGCGATCTCAGCTCACCGCAACCTCCGTCTCCTGGGTTCAGGCAATTCTCCTGCCTCAGCCTCCTGAGTAGCTGGGATTACAGGCACGTGCCACCATGCCCAGCTAATTTTTTTGTATTTTTAGTAGAGACGGGGTTTCACCATGTTGACCAGGATGGTCTTGATCTCTTGACCTCATGATCCACCCGCCTCGGCCTCCAAAAGTGCTGGGATTACAGGCTTGAGCCACCGCGCCCGGCCAGTCCTCTGCATTTCTTATGACAACACTGATCTTTGTTTACCTCCTGGATTTTTGAAAGGGTAGGATGCTAAAGGAAGCCCTGTTAGTTGAATATGCAAATCCCTCAACAGTGCTGACAAAGCTCTAATGCAAAAGCAGGTAGATATGCAAAGTTAAAGCTGTAAATTCAGGTTCCAAAGGCATGCAATATTAACAATCCCCATTATTATACCAAGCTCTCAGCTAGTCCACTGATCAAATGCATCACATTTGAGTAATGCAGAGATGGCAAAGACCCTACTGAAAGAACTTCTCCAGTGGACTAACTCCGCTTCCAACATTAAAGCCACCTTGATGTATGTGTCTGCTCTTAAATGTCTTTTTAAACAACAAGGGAAGAAAAAAATCCTGAAGTTGTGGTAGCTAGTGAATACAAAACAAAGTCATACCACTCCAGAGATGGAGATAGCCACTCCTCATCCTTTTATGTAGCAGATGCACTCTGATAATGTAATCAGGGTGAATTTACTGGGAAGCTAAGAAAACTTGGATTTCAGGTCTCTGCACCTTCATAGGCCTGTACCTAATTTGGTACTCTGGCATTAAAGCCAATCCCCTAAATTATTAAAATCCAGGCCCAGAAAATCTGGACCTACTCCTGACATAAGCTAATTGAATTTAAATTCAAGGAGTTCACCATTTAAAAGACTTGTGGAGTCAATACTTAGGTTAAACAGAGTCTGGTTATGTGGATATGAAATAATTTCCTCTGTCTATAACTATGAGAAATGAGATAAAATGCTCTGAGTAGCAGATCACAAAAACATAAAGGTTAGGTTACTACATATATAGAAAAAGACAGACCCCCTACCTACAATACCCATATACCAGTCAATAAATTCTTAAACCTATAAGTGAAAATCCATAATAATACCAGAACAAAACATAATAGAGTATGGATATAATAATGGCTGGTAAAGGCATTCTAAAAGTCACTCGAAACATACAAAGAAAAAGATTGACAAGTCTGATATGTAAAAATAGACAAAAGGTTGATAACCCAAATAGATGGAGCTCTTACACTTCGATCAGAAAAAGATAAACAGGTTGAGTGCAGTGGCTCATGCCTAATCCCAGCACTTGGGGAGCCCAAGGCGGGTGGATCAACTGAGGTCAGGAATTTCAGACCAGCCTGGCCAACATGGTGAAGCTCTGTCTCCACTAGAAATACAAAAATTAGCCAGACATCGTGGTGCACGCCTGTAGTCCCAGCTACTCTGAAAGCTGAGGTGGGAGGATCACTTGAAGCTGGGAGGCAGAGGTTGCAGTGAGCTGAGATCGTGCCACTGTACTCCAACCTGGGAGACAGAGACTCCATCTCAAAAAAAAGAAAAAAAAAGAAAGAAAAAGATAAACAATACAGCAGCAAAATGGGCAAGTCATAATTGATTCACAGAGCAAAGAAATACAAACAACCAGTAAGTTTATGAAAAGATGTTCAGTCCCAATAACAATAAAGCAAATGCAAATTTTGAAAAATCTTTTTCTATCAATTAGCAAAAACAAATTTTTTTTTCTTTTTTGAGATGGAGTCTCGCTCTGTCACCAGGCTGGAGTGAAGTGGTGCAATATCAGCTCACTGCAACCTCCGCTTCCTGGGTTCGAGTGATTCTCCTGCCTAAGCCTCTTGAGTAGCTGGGACTACAGGTGAGTGCACCACCACACACAGCTAATTTTTGTATTTTTAGTAGAGATGGGGATTCACCATGTTGTCCAGGATGGTCCTGATCTCCTGACCTCATGATCCATCGGCCTCGGCCTCCCAAAGTGCTGGGATTACAGGCCTGAGCCACTGCACCCCGGCCCTCAATTAACAAAAATGTTAAAAGCTGATAGTATCTACTGTTGGCAAGGATGTGGAAAAACAGGTATTCTCACACACTGTTGTTGAAAAATTATGACATCACTTTTTGAGGGTGATTTGGCCATATCTATATAAACATTTTATTAAGATAAAATTTATACACATAAAA